GGCTGTGTGCTGAGCCCCATGCTCTACTCCCTGTACACCTATGACTGTGCCCCCACTCACCCCACCAACACCATTGTCAAGTTCGCGGACGACACAACCGTGGTTGGACTGATAACAAGAGGAGATTAATCAGCCTACAAGAATGAAATCCAGAGACTGGCGGTGTAGTGTTCAGATAATAACCTTGTTCTGAACTCCATAAAAACAAAATAACTCATTATAGACTTCAGGAAAAACAGCACAACACCAGATCCACTGTACATCAACGGCAACTGTGTGGAAAGGGTTCCCGCCTTCAGGTTCCTCGGCACACACATTGCTGAAGATCTATCCTGGTCTATCAACACCACAACATCTGTAAAAAAGGCCCAGCAGCGACTCCACTTCCTGAGGATCCTCAGGAAAAACAACCTGGAGGAGAAGCTTCTGGTGTCTTTCTACCGCTGCTCCATAGAGAGCGTGCTGGCATATTGCCTAACCACGTGGTGTGCCAGCTGCTCAGAAAAGGACAGGAAAGCCCTTCGGAGGGTAAAATAGCAGGCAAAATAATTGCAGACTCTTCACACCCTGAACAATTCCTGTTTGCTCTTCTGCCCTCCGGTAGACGCTATAGGTCAATTCAATCAAGGACAAACCGACTGAAAAACAGTTTCTACCCCAGAGCTATACGAGAACTGAACACCGTCAAACGCTGAACTAGCACACACACAGTAACAATTTACAACTGCACTACTTTTTAATAGTTTTATCAATTTATTAACTGATTGACATCAGAGATGCCAAATATCATCCCCGTGTTTTTTATATTGTAAAGTGTATTTAAATTATGTGCGGGCATGTATGCATGTTGGTATGGATGTGTGAGCATATGTTTATGTGTGCATGTTTATATAGATATATATTTTTTCGTATTATGTGGAAATGCACTGCGAGGATTGCTTTTTTAAATTTCGTTGTACCTGGTGCGATGACAATAAAGGAATTATATTCTATTCTATTCTAAAGTGAGACATTTTACTATTTAAAGAAGTAAGAACACAATCTCTCAAATAAATGAAAAATGTAAGTCATACGCTGTATTACCCACCTTGTACCCTCTCAATCACATACAGTCAGGGCTATTGATGCTACAGCAGCACTTGGTGTATTTATTATGACCATAGGCTGTGAAACAGTGAGTATGACCTGTAGCTTCTGGTGGCTAATGCTAGCAGTAGATATAAATATATTGATATTACTGAGTTAGACTTCACAGACTCTAGGAAACAGTGCATTCATTCGGTTATTTATGGAGCTCTCATGGAGTTGTGACTAAATTATAAACAAGTTACATGTTCTAATGATGTTAGATATTATTCATACAATTCTGAAAAATGTAGCTAACAGTAAATATTATTTAAAAAGAAACAACTTCTAGTCTTCTACAGCAATTTTATTGAATTTGCTCAAACAAAACAATATGTTAGCTTATAAGAAAATAATGATTAACATGAGAACAGTATGATACAAAGCAGATGAATAAAAGGTTGGAAATGCCACCCGTAAAACTTGCGATGTATCCCTTCAAATTCTTTCCCTCAGCAGGAAGATACATGTTTCCATCCCAGGCTGACAACAACATGGAGCAGCTCTCACTGCAGAGGACAGAACACATCTCCACGTTTTCATGACATTTTAAAAGGCATCCCGACCACGGCAGGTCACAGGGTTTAGGAAGCAGCCTATTTCCTGGATGAAAACTAATCACACATATGTAAAAAACTAAACACAGAAGATGTTGCTGCAGAGATGTTTTCTTGGTAGGGATCAGAACCGAGATCATTTCATTCTCCCAGCCATGATAAAAACAAGGAGGCCAAACTAAAGAAGAATTGCAGGTAACCCTAATTAGAGTTCCTGGATATTATTATTATTATTATGAGTTATCTATATATTTTTGTCACATTAATGCAACTTCGGAACAAGGCACATAGCTTCAAAGAGATCTTCAATTTTTTTTACCTGCCATCACAACCAAAGGACTGAGTATAGTGACAGAAATATGTCTGTTTGTTAGATCCTTGGAGAATTATAGACAATAAGAAAGGCTTTGTTTAGAGTGATTATGTGGAGCTGGAGACTGAATCCTTTGGTGAGAAAGCCACATGGCTGGATCCCTCTGAAAAGGCATTCGATGTTCGGGAGCCTGACCCTCATTACCCTGTCATTGCTAACATCACCCTATTTGTCAATCATTCGAGCCAATCCAAAGCCAATGAGAGAAACTGGGGGAAATTATTTTTCTTCACGAAGTAAGCCCTTGAAGACAGTACAGACCCTACAGCCAGACACTGATCCAGGGGAGCAGTATGACATCATATAAAGGGGCACTCCGCCCACTGTACACCAAAGAAACGCTTAACTGTCAATGGTGCTTTTGCAGAGACTTTGTCCAGTGTGAAAAATAACCCTGGTGATGTCAGAGTGAAGGCTGCAAGTCTCCTGGCCGAGGCCTGAAGACCACACAGTGTTAACACAAGTCTGGTGATCCAAACTGAGAATGTGGACGGAGAGTTGTTTACATGGCAGCCAGGCTGCATCTCATCAAGAATACTATGGAGTTGCATTATGGGAGGTGTAGGACTACAATTCAGAATATTTTAGTCTTTGTTGATTCCACTTTTACAATTATTTGTGTTGTCTCCCAACTAAATAGGTTAATATGAAATAACTGGAGTGCCCCTTTAAGTCAGAGATCTGTGACATGCTGTGGGTAGAGCATATGGACCCCGTCTTTAAACATCTGGGGTTTCCTGCCACCTTTCCAAAGTGAAAATATATTAAAAATGAAGGATAAAAATCAGTTGAGCTACAATGTGGCTAAAGACGCAGTATCCCTGAATAGAAAATAAACTTAAAATGAGAATATTGGGATTATTCCTTGATATCTGATGTTATGTCACGTTAGCTCCACTTTTACAGAATATCTGCGATCAAGTTGACAAGAGGTGTGTCACACAGTAACCTTGTCCTATGGGTGCTCAGAAGTTGGAAGCAAAACTACACAGACATTGAGAATTGATGATGGTGTTGGGACGGGGATTGGGACGGGGACTGGGACAGGGACCGGGGGAGGGGGTTGAATAGATGCTACACATATTGCTTGCAATTGAACTTGTCTCAGGTAATGCATTTACGTGGCAGACTTGGGACCTCCCCTCATAAAGAAAACAACCACACATGCACCAAACAGAGTAAATAGGACATTATGACAGTCTTCAAATCAAAATTGTCAGGAAAGGAACACGTTTTTCTATCTTGACATGGCAGGTATCAGCCCAGCAGCACTCTGCAGGGGCCCGCCTGTCTACAGCTGGGGATGATGAGCTACTTCATATGGCCATAGATCTACACTGAAACACACATGGTTGATAGATGCTTTTTCTAAATAACTTGTTCTCTCTTTTGTACATATTCAGGTCAAAATACTATCTGAGGAAGACAAGCTTTACAGTCCTGCAGTGGCTGAATCCACCAGAGTCAGTCGCCCCCCCCCCCAAACACACACACACACACACGCACGCGCGCACACACACACACACACACACACACACACACACACACACACACACACACACACACACACACACACACACACACACACACACAACCTCTATGGCAATATGGAACAAAAGAGGTTTTATTTTCAATCCCCACTTCCTTTCTGTCATTTCTCTTCATAAAACCTTCTGATAGAAAATACCCAGAGTTCTGAGTTGAGTTGTGATGGTACAGTATCTGTGTTATTATCGGACACTACTGGAGCGTCCACACAGCAGCGTGCGTTGACGTTGGAGGTGGGGCGATCTGGAAGCTTGGGGATTTTTTTGGGCGAGCAACGCGCACCAAACAACCAATCACATGAATCTCCGCCCCCCCCGACATACAAGCAAATAGCCCATGTTAAAAGAAACGTAAGTAAACTGGAGTATAAAATCCCCACCTAACAGGCGAAAACCTCCAAGTTTTCATCACCCACTGTCTCTTGCCACCTCCCTCCAGGGCCTCGCTCCTCGCGGTTTTGCTAATATCCCAGGTAGATCAACAGAGACTGACATTACAGCACCGGGTGATTCTCTACAGCCTATAATGAATTTTCCCTCCATTTTTTTGAATATGATAAAATGACCTGCGTAGTCTCTCCCAGCATACACGCGGTTTGATTGGCTAGCGCTTGTACTGGCAGATTTGCATAAAACGGGATTTCATTGGCTGACGCCTCCGTCGAGGCGTGAAAAGTTGAACATTGCTCAACTTTTGACGCCAGCTACGCCAGCAACGCTCCACGTCGCTTCCCAAAATGCAGTTCGGCTAAAAGTGACGTCACCCCATTCAAATCGAATGGGCAGAAGCGTTGGAAGCTTCAACGCACGCCGCTGTGTGGACGGGCCGTCACCAAGTCTACACCCTAAAATTAATGATTCCACTTACGGAGACCTCCAATTTGTCCCCATAAGGGAGGCGAGTCCCCACACGTGACTATGTAAACAGATGTAGGTCCCCACAAGTATAGTAATGCTAGACCACACACACACACACACACACACACACACACACACACACACACACGCACACACACTGTCTGGTAGGCAGGAATATACATACTGTATGTATATGTAAGCTGAGTGCACAATTTTACATGTGTGACGAATGCCCGCATCATCACCAGAACCCCCTCCATTAACCACATCTCTCCTGTTCTTCAGCAGCTTCACTGGCTCCCCGTCAAATCCCGTATCGTTTTTAAGATTCTGCTCCTCACCTTTAAGGCCATCCATAACCTCAGTCCTCTGTACCTCTCCGACCTCCTGCACATCAACACACCCATCCGCACACTCAGATCTTCTGCTTCCCTCAGCCTCACTGCACCCCCCTTCCGTTTAACCACCATGGGGTCTAGAGCCTTCAGCCGCTCTGCACCCCGGCTCTGGAACTCCCTCCCACCTGACATCCGCAACACTGACTCTCTCCCCATTTTCAAATCACGCCTCAAAACATATCTCTTCTCACTCGCTTATCCACCCTGATCATTATCCATCACACATCCTCTGTTTTTATTGATTTGGTTATTTGATTGATTTATATACTGCATTGTCTGGTTTATGTCTCTTATGCTGGTGTTATCTATTGTGTATCTTGTTTTTATGTGTTTGTACGGCGACCTTGAGAGCCTTGAAAGGCGCCTATATAAAATAAATGAATTATTATTATTATTATTATTACCATGAAATAATTAGTGTGCTCAGCTCTCTGTAAGTCACATATTAGGATACTTTCATTAAGCTGGAACCGGAAGCGACCATCTGGTTTGCTCTAACACACACACACACACACACACACACACACACACACACACACACACACACACACACACACACACACACAACACACACACACACACACACACACACACACACACACACACACACACACACACACACACACACACACACACACACACACACACACACACACGCAGCCTTATCTGTGGGCGCCTGCTCGCTCTGCTCTACAGTGATAATAATGTGCCAAGTCTGCTGTGCACTGGGCGGACACACATTTCTATGTGCATGATCGGGTTAGTGTACAGTACGTGACATACACATTTGGATTTCACAGTTAGGAAGAACTAGGAATTGTTAGGTTAGCGATGAATGGTTTAGAAAGATAGACATCAGTAAGAACAGAAGACAAGACACACAGGAGCCTGTCCAAAGGTTTCATAAAAACACCCTCTCCATCACGGCACACCCCCATCATTGTATCAGAGAGGAGGGATATCACACTCTCTACCTGCTGCAGGACTCTGATCCAGTGGGATGTCTCCACGAAGACTCTAGTCTGTGTGAGCAGCAGAGACACTCACTTTACACATTTAAGCTCAGTTCCTGTGTGTGTGTGTGTGTGTGTGTGTGTGTGTGTGTGTGTGTGTGTGTGTGTGTGTGTGTGTGTGTGTGTGTGTGTATGTGTGTGTGTGTGTGTCATATACACTATGCTACTGAACTTTATCACTGATCTTCCCCACTGTCTTGACTATGAACTTCTGTTATTTTATAATATTTATTATCCTTTACTTAATCTGATGACTGAGTTAGAGAACTACACAAAACCCTTTATCGTGTATGGAGGGCTTTGTGTACAAATTGATATTTCGACAAGCTTTAGGCAGGAAAGCACTGTTTCAATGGACATGTGGCTGTGATACATTGATACGACATGATGTTAGTATGCTTGATAAATGCTAAGCTCCTGTGCAATCACATGAGGGCCTTTAGTGATGTTAGGCAGAGCATCATGCTAAAGTTAACCAAAGGTACAGCTTTAATATTCCCCCGTGGATGATCCAAAGAAAAAACTGAATTTGAGTTGCAATACACAAAATACTATTTTCCTTACTGTACCTTCCAATTACTGGAGATTTGCTACCATTCATGGTGTTAGTTCTGTCCCATGGCTTCCTTGGCATGTCTGGAGAAAAAAGCCCAGAAATATGAAAAGCACAAGACATGAAGTTCAGCTATTCAGTAATAGTACTTCCCCCCCCCTACCCGACTTGTAAAGCGACCTTGGGTTTCCTGAAAGGCGCTATAAAAATATTATACATTATTATTATTATTAAGGAAAAACAGATTTACTGTTTAACATTGATGTGATGGGAGCTAGCTTCATGCTAACTGGGACCGTGGCCCCCTCTGTTGTGAGGATGCATTTGAATATGTTTCCATAGAGGGACACTCACCTGGCGTGCTACAGGCAGACACTTTAGGGGTGGTGCTGATCTCACCTTCTTCCTGTTGGATGGATAGGCAAGGTTCAAAGGTCAAAAGCATTCCTAGATTTATTTTTAAACAGATATTCATAATTTGATTTCAAAATAAGTTTTCAATACCCATCCGTTGAGGTTTCTTAGGAAGTTGTGGAGTCAATACAACTCAAAACTTCCTGTGGATGTTTCACACTAAAAGCCTAAAAGATTGCCATAAAGGGAGCATAGGCTTAGCCTACTCATTGAAATTCAGGAAGGCTGCAATTTGTGTAAAAAGTGTCTGATGGACATAAACACCAAAATGCAAGTGACTGCAAAAATGATGGAATGAAAACAGTGTTTCTGTACCCCGCCAGTAGCGTTATCCTGGGCCTGTGGTGATCTCACCCGGGATCAACATATGGCTTTAAGTGCGTCTACGGTGAACACGACTGATCACATCTCACCTTCACAGCGCACACCCACTATACTCTGAATGTCACATGTTGTCTCTGTGCCCTAGGTTCAGATGACCCCCTGTTCTACACCACTGTTCTGCCACTATCGATTTTATCTACCAGAACTCATTATGTACACAGGAAATGTAAAAGTTACCTTAAATAACTCATTATACCCTACTGTCCTACTAGGGCATTGCGTTCCAAGAATGCAGGGTTGTTGGTTGTTCCTAGAGTCTCTAAAAGTACAATGGGAGCCAGAGCCTTTTCTTATCAAGCTCCACATTTGTGGAATCAGCTTCCAGTTTGTGTTCGGGCAGCAGACACCCTATCCGTTTTTAAGAGTGCGCTTAAGACCTTCCTTTTTGATAAAGCTTATAGTTGATAAACAAATCTAATAAGAGTGCATTGACGTAGACACGTTGTGCCTCTTCACCTATACATTTCAGTTCTTGCTCTTTTTCCTTACTGATGGTATGTAATTTGGTTATGTGTGTAGACGGTGGAAGCAGGGAGAGGCATATATGTGCCTTGATCCCTGCCGAGTCGACGCACAACTGTTGATTGGTGTCAGTGCCAAAAAACTTTTTAGGAGCAATGCGCTCATGGTATAGATGTGGCGCATACATCTTAGTTCCTACTCTTTTCCCTCAACCTATCCTAAGGGAGTGCATGTACGTACAGATGTAGCACTCCAGATAGGACTCCAATGGGTGTGTCCCAGTCAAAAGCCCAGCGGATCCCAGTGGCTGGGGGTGTTGCCAAATTGCTAGAGGGCGTTGCCAAAGTTCTCCATTTGTTCAATTACAGGATTTAACCATGAGATGTCGCTTCATTCACAAAATACACAAAGACAACTGGGTGTTGATGAACTTAGTCTGTTTGCAATGTTTGCAGCTCTGCAGTTGTGTTTGTTGAATACTGTAGCATTTAATCACTTATTTGTTATGGTTGTCACAGGCTACTATAATGAAAAAACATCAGTTTTAGATCAAATAAAGTATATCTAATCTTATTATCTTAATTGTAATTCAATAATATATAGTCTTTATATATTAAAGTGTGCATCTGGACCCGGTGACGACATTACCTATTGACGCAGCAACCACTGTAAGTTGTAAGTTAATTCTTGTTTTTAATTAGATCTTCTTCTTGTTTCATTTATTCGACTCTGGTATAAATTGTTATTGTAGCGTAAACGGGCTAATCGCGTTAGATAGATTTTTTAAATCTCCGATCTGACTCAGGCGGAAACCTGCTTTACAGGTCTCAGCAGTCAAGCCTGCATTAATATAGGCACGGCCAGTCTATTGATAGCGTGAAGTACAACCGCGTGACTCAGTCATTTTGTACCTTAAAAAGCATTTAAATACAGCATTTAAAATCTGATGAACTCAGTGTGCATCTGGACCCGGTGACGACATTACCTGTTGACGCAGCAACCACTGTAAGTTATATTCTTGTTTAATTAGACTTATCTGTTTCATTTATTCGACTCTGTATAAATTGTTATTGTAGCGTAAACGGCTAAATCGCGTTTGAGAGATTTTAAATCTCAGATCTGCTCAGGCGAAACCTGCTTTACAGCTCTCAGCACTCAAGCCTGCATTAATATAGGCACGGCCAGTCTATTGTCGCCCATCAGCTGTAGATAGTTAACTAATTAGAGGGCCGTGGCCCTACAGCTGTGAGAACTGAGCAATCAGGCGTCCATTTCGGGTAGCTCTTTCCTGGAGCGTCAGCTTCAGCGTCAGACAGCCGAAGACTGACAAAGACATTGGAGTCCTGCGGGAGTAAGACTGACAAAGACATTGGAGTCCTGCGGGAGTCACGAGGGAGGCAAAGAGGAGGCAAATCCTACTCTGATCGAGCTGGTGTCTTATTTCTCTTTTCTTTAGTTTTCTAGCCCCGCATGCTATAATCATGTGTATTTTCTCTATTCCTGTTCATGTGTCTTCTCGCAATTATCACTGGCCCCGTGTATCTCCTAATCGATATAACCGGCCTGCTCTCGTCTATCCCACGTGCTCCACTGAGATCCAACATCTAGTTTCTGGTGGCCTGTGGAATTGCCAGTCAGCTGTTCCTAAGGCTGAATTCATCTCTGGCTACGCCTCCCTGCAGTCTCTGGATTTCCTTGCTCTCACTGAGACCTGGATTACTCCATCCAACACATCCACCCCAGCAGCTCTCTCCACTGCATATTCCTTCTCCCATACACCCAGACCCACTGGCAGAGGAGGTGGCACTGGTCTCCTGCTCTCTCCCAAATGGAGCTTTTCCCTCTTCAAGCTACCTAACTTCACTCCTTCCACCTTTGAATTCCATGCCGTCACAGTAACCCATCCTATACAGTTAACCATTGTTGTTCTCTACCGTCCACCAGGCGCCTTGGGGGACTTCTTGGAGGAATTAGATAATCTCCTCTCACTCATCCCTGAAACTGGCCCTCCCGCTGTACTTCTCGGAGACTTCAACCTCCAGATGGGGAAGATAGACGAACTAACATCTCTGTTAACCGCCTTTAGTTTCTCACTGTCTCCGTCCCCACCGACTCATAAAGCTGGCAATGTCCTTGATCTCATATTCTCAAGGAACTGCGCTACTTCTAACCTCTCTGTAAACCCGCTCCACACATCCGATCACTTCTTCATTTCATTCTCTCTATCCCTTTCCAAACATAACAAACTAATCTCTTCTCATCTTGCACTTGTCCGCCGTAACCTTCGCTCCCTCTCCCCCTCTAGCTTTGCCTCGTCGGTGCTCTCAGCCCTCCCTTCCTCTGATTCGTTCCATCTCCTGCCTCCAAACTCTGCTGCAGAAACTCTCCTCTCTACTCTCTCATCCACTCTGGACTCTCTCTGTCCTCTCACATCTCGGCAGGCTCGTCAGTCCCCTCCTGCTCCCTGGCTAAATGATGCACTGCGTGCTAATAGAACCGTCCTTAGGGCAGCAGAGCGGAAATGGTGGAAATCCAAACACCGTGACGACCTCCTAACCTATCTGGCTCTCCTCTCCTCTTTCTCTGCTTCGATCTCTCAGGCAAAAAGCACTTTCTTTCAAGATAAGATCCAATCTTCCTATTCCAATCCTAAAAAAATATTTTCCATCTTCTCCACCCTCTTGGACCCTCCAAAAGCTCTTCCCCCCTCCTCACTTCTGTCAAGCGACTTTGTTACCCACTTTGAAAAAAAGGTTGATGATATTCGCTCTTCTTTTTCTGACTCACCTTTACTCACCGCTGGGTCACCAGACCCTCCTTCCACCAACACACTTACCTCCTTTTCCCCTCTCTCTCCAAGTGAGGTTCTTACCCTCATTACCTCTGCCCGCCCTACCACCTGTCCTCTGGACCCTATCCCTTCAAACCTCCTTCAGACTATCGCTCCTGATATTCTACCGTTTCTCACCCATTTCATCAACACTTCTCTAACTTCTGGTCACTTTCCAAACAGTCTCAAGGAGGCAAGAGTAAACCCTCTCCTAAAGAAACCCACTCTCAACCCGTCTGATGTTATAAACTACAGGCCTGTCTCTCTCCTCCCGTTCCTGTCTAAAACACTTGAACGCGCTGTCTTTAAACAACTCTCCTGTTATCTCAATCAGAACAACCTTCTGGATCCGCACCAGTCTGGTTTCAAGGCAGGTCACTCCACAGAAACTGCTCTCATTGCTGTCACGGAGGAACTGCACACTGCCAAAACTGCATCCCTCTCCTCTGTCATCATCCTGTTGGACCTGTCTGCTGCATTCGACACGGTGAATCATCAGATCCTCCTTCGCACTCTCCAAAAACTTGGAGTTTCAGGCTCTGCACTTTCCCTCCTCACCTCATACCTGAAAGACCGTACCTACAGGGTGACTTGGAGAGGGTCTGAGTCCGACCCTTGTCAATTAACTACGGGGGTCCCTCAGGGCTCTGTTCTTGGTCCCCTCCTCTTCTCCCTGTACACAAACTCGCTCGGATCAGTCATTAGCCCGCATGGTTTTTCTTACCACTGCTACGCTGATGACACCCAATTAATTCTGTCCTTTCCCCGCTCAGAGACCCAGGTCGTCGCACGCATCTCTGCTTGTCTAGCTGACATCTCTCAGTGGATGTCTGCTCACCACCTCAAGCTCAACCTTGACAAGACTGAGCTGCTCTTCCTCCCGGGAAAAGATTGTCCCACTCTTGACCTAACAATCAACATCGGCACCTCAGTTGTTTCCCCGACTCAGACTGCAAGGAATCTGGGTGTGACCCTAGATAACAACCTGTCCTTCACTGCAAACATCGCTGCTACAACCCGTTGCTGCAGATACACGCTTTACAACATCAGGAAGATACGTCCCCAGCTGACTCAGAAAGCGACTCAGGTTCTGGTCCAGGCTCTCGTCATCTCACGCCTAGACTACTGCAACTCCCTCCTGGCTGGTCTACCTGCATGTGCCATCCGACCTCTGCAGCTCATCCAGAATGCAGCGGCTCGTCTGGTCTTCAACCTTCCTAAATTCTCCCACACCACTCCGCTCCTCCGCTCCCTTCACTGGCTTCCAGTAACTGCTAGAATCCATTACAAGACACTGGTACTTGCTTACCATGCTGCGAATGGATCTGGCCCTTCCTACATCCAGGACATGGTTAAACCGTACACCCCAGCGCGTGCACTACGCTCTGCATCAGCCAAACGACTCGTTGCGCCCTCGCTGCGAGGGGGACCCAAGTTCCCATCGGCGAAAACACGTGGGTTTGCTGTCCTGGCTCCAAGATGGTGGAATGAGCTCCCCATTGACATCAGGATGGCAGATAGCTTGCACATCTTCCGGCGCAAACTGAAAACTCATCTCTTTCGACTCCACTTCGAGCGTTAGAACTATTAACGAAGCACTTTTATACTAATAAAGGACTGGCTTATCTAAAGCCAGTTGAGTAGCACTTGAAATGTTTGGCTCTATGAAACCTGATGTACTTATATGATTCTGTTTTCTTCAAGGTTGTGTCTTCCTGGTCGAATGTACTTATTGTAAGTCGCTTTGGATAAAAGCGTCAGCTAAATGCAATGTAATGTAATTAAATAATCATAATAATAATGTAAATGTTTACACTTCTTCATTTTTTATGCTCATACTTTTACCTTTACAATAGTTTGCTTTAATGTGCAGTATATTTTTTGTAATATTGTTGTGGTGTACACAGTACAGTAGATCGAAGTAAATCAACTCATACATTATCACGTATTATGGCTACTACAGTATCTCTTGTTAACAGAGGGGGGTTTCAGTGTTAATGAATAGTGGAAAATACGCAAGTAGAAAGACTTCAAATCCCAGAATCCCGGTCCCGCATGCTGGCTCTTACGGAACCGACTAACTCCCCTTGTGTGTATGTACAGCTCTCAACATGCCAGACTTGGAGTGATTTTCACCTCTTTTAATACTTTGCCTCATTCTGAAAGAAAGAAGTGAAATGTGCCAACGTGACGGCCGTCTTGGTGTTGGTGTGAGACTGGAGATGTAGTTCATTGACCGGTTTCACACAAACAAATGTTTTACTTCACAGTTTTACGACACATGTTTTTGTTGTTTACTTGCAAAATTATCTTTTAAATTGACAAACATCATATGTGTAATTCCTGGCACAATTGAAACGGGATCGAAAGATAATCTTTCTCTCTCCATTGACTTCAATTCATCATTTTTCCGAAATAAGGTCCCATGGAGGTCCCCCTGAAAGGGAGGGACTTCGCCTCTCTATTGCTTTCAACCCACCAGCTTTTATGGAGAAAACAAGTTATATAATAATTAACCAGAGGCATGTTTCTCACTATTTTATGCATAGAAACAACAGGCGTGTGTGTGAGGAATCAGCTGTTTATTTCATATGAGTTTCATTGTGGCAGCGTCCATCACTGCTCTCCCTGGTTGCAATACACAAAGACAGCTAACTGTAAGCTTGTCACTCAGAGGGGGGTGGGGGCCATGGCTATTTTAAAAAAAAAACTCCTAAGGGAGTGCATGTACGTAGACACGTTGTGCTTCTCCACCTCTGTTCCTTACTTCTTACTTGCTACTCTTTTCCCTCAACCTATCCTAAGGGAGTGCATGTACGTAGACACGTTGTGCCTCTTTTCTCTGGAAGTTTTTCCTTGTACGATGTGAGGGTCTAAGGACAGAGGGTGTCGTATTGTCATACTGATATTCTGTACAAACTGTGAAGTCCACTGAGACAAATGTAACATTTGTGATATTGGGCTATATAAATAAACATTGATTGATTGATTAATTAATGGATGTGTTCAAGGACACTGGTCAGTACACAGTGATTCATCATATAGATATTAAGATGACATGAGAGAAGACAGACGATACTCACTGATCTCTGGTCAGGTTCAGGGGACGAGCCCTTATCTGCAATTCTTCTCCTGTAACAAATAAAGGCCAGACACTTGAAGTGGGTCCACATCACATAATTCACCACACTAAACATTTTGAGTAAAGCCATTAGTCCAAATATAATCACGGTAGAGTGTGAAATCATTCTTCAGAAGGTATTAAATCCTTATTGAGAGGGTTTTGGTTACATACTGTGACTGTAACCTCTGCATGAATAATGCTGACATCTGCAGTTCCTTTACAATAATAATAATAAATGCTATTTGTATAGCGCTTTTCCTGGTGCTCAAAGCACTTATTATTCTTCTTATAAGTCTTTTATTTTTACCTCCTCTTCTTGGCATTTCCGAAATACACCAGTAACATTGAGATAAAATATGATGTATGTTATTGAAAGTTCATCATGTTGAATCAGCAGTGTTTGGGAATTGACCCTACCTCCTGGCCAACAGGGCGCTCATCTCCTCCATGAGCCCGCCTCCTCCAGACAGAGGGCCGTTGCCTCTGACTTCAGATTTGGCCCCTGCGGGCCCTCCAGCCCCCAACATGGCTGCAGCCAAAGAAGCGCCTGCATCATCACTCTAAAGGGTACAAACACACACAAAAAGTTCTTTACAGAGGGAAGTATCAACCCTGATGGCCTTGTTGTGTTTATTTTATATCAGAAAAGTAAAAAATTATGAAAAATGTATGGTTGATTTCAGTGTTTGTTGACAGAACTGCATGTAAAGTCCTCTGAGATGAGATGAGACAGAAGTGTGTGTGTGTGTGTGTGTGTGTGTGGGTGTGTGTGTGTGTGTGTGTGTGTGTGTGTGTGTGTGTGTGTGTGTGGTGTGTGTGTGTGTGTGTGTGTGTGTGTGTGTGTGTGTGTGTGTGTGTGCGTGCGTGTGTGTGTGTGTGTGTGTGTGTGTGTGCGTGTGTGTGTTTCACTGACAGTGATGCTGTGTGCATGAAGATGAAGTGTGTGTATCTGAGCTGCAGGAGGACACACAGACATGATGTATGTGCAGCTGCTCGCCTGAACACTCATCATGTGACGTTTGCAGAGCTGTGAGAGTGGGAACAAGCAGCCAATCAGAGCTCACCCTCTGCACTTTGCGCAGCTTGGCTCCAGCGAGGGCGGCGGCCAGGCCTGAGATGGGACGCTCCTCTGCAGGAGAGAACAGGCCCGGGGGGAGGGGGGGGGGGCGGCGGAGGCAGCGGGAGTCCGGGAGGAGGAGGTGGACCTGGTGGTGGAAAAGGGGTCCCTGGAGTCAATGTAGGGGCCAGTTGAGGGGGTGGGGGTGGTGGTGGGGGAGGGTGGCCGGCTGGGGTGGATGGGCTGGAGGTCACAGCAGAGCCGGGAGGCAGGGGTGGAGGTGGTGGAGGGGTGGGGGCGATCCACTCTGGGGTCTGTACCTCATCTGTAGGGGAGGGGGTGGGGGGTTGGGAGATGATAGAGGAATGGAAGTGAAGTTCAAACTGTCACTCATCAGGTAAGCATCACCCCCCAATCAAATACGCTCTAACCAAAACAATTTTAATATTAGTGTAATATTAGTGTGATGTAGACTGAGCTACAGTGTTCTGGTGGAGCCTGCAGTCATGTTTTAATAAACATGTAACACACATGAGGTATAACAGCGTGCCACGTCTGCTAAACATGCAGCAGAGAACCTGTGAGCGACCTGGGGGGGTCCGAAAACCTTTCAGTATCTGGTGTGAGGGGTAGGGGTAGGGTTAGGGTTAGGGTTAGGGTAATGTTGTGAATCGAGTGGCCTGTGTTCGTCGTCCATAACATACGCCTGCCCATACCATAACCCCACCACCACCATGGGCCACTCGATTCACAACATTACCCTAACCCTACCCCTACCCCTACCCCTCACACCAGATACTGACTGGTTTTCGGACCCCCCCAGACCCCCCCAATAAAGCAAAACTGCACGTTTCAGAGTGGCCTTTTATTGTGGCCAGCCTAAGGCACACCTGTGCAATAATCATGCTGTCTAATCAGCATCTTGATATGCCACACCTGTGAGGTGGGATGGATTATCTCGGCAAAGGAGAAGTGCTCACTATCACAGATTTTTTCAGATTTGTGAACAATATTTGAGAGAAATGGTTATTTTGTGTTTATAGAAAATGTTTTAGATCTTTGAGTTCATCTCATGAAAAATGGGAGCAAAAATAAAAGTGTTGCGTTTATATTTTTGTTCAGTGTATTAATGATAGGAAACATCACAAATGGTTATTGTATTAAAAACATTTTCGACAAGATATATCATTATAATAAGTGTCCATATTCAGAGGGTACACATTTGAATAAATTGAGCACAGACAAAGTCAACACTTTTTAGTGCAATTACACACGCACGCACGCACAATGGCCTAAAGACAATCAACAGGAAGTAAGTTGGGCAGTAGTTGTGTTTGACTCGATATCATCTGCCTACATATGGCAGTCCTCATTAATAAAGTTGATAACATTTATAATCGGAAAAAAGTGAGCTTGTCCATTCTAAACTAAACAAGCAGATATACTTAATTATGATCAAGAATAATAATTAGGCTGCTCCCAATTCCCATGATCAAGTATTTATGGCGACATGGGCCAGCAGTCTAGTCACTATGCTGACCTCAGAGGTCATAGGTCGTCAGAATGCCTCCTGAGTTATTTCGAGAAATGGCTCTGGAGCTGCTACCGATGTGTTTCCATACTGGCCCCAGCAGAGAGAGGCTCCTGCTGGGGCCCCACATTAGGAGAAGGATGATGTGTACTACACACAGGCCATGCAAACACACATGCTGCTGTTAACACCCCCCCTCCCCGCTGTTAGTGTGTCAGTAGGACAGCAGTGAGAAACTATGGAAGAGAGGTTGTGAGAGAGAGAGCAGGATGTGGACTGGAGGCCTTACCCTGGGGCTGACAGGACGAGCCCCCCCCCTCTGTGAAGATGTTTGACCCCCCTGGCCCAGACAGGCCCAGGCCCTCTGGGGGGGAGCAGAGCTCAGTAGAGGTGGTGGCGGCTGCAGCAGGGGGTGCTGTGGAGGGAGAGGGCACACCAGGAGCCTGGGATGAGGATGGGGGAGACAAGACGAAGGGGGAGGGGAGAGGGGGCGGAGTAGGTGGTGGAGGCGGGGTGGGGGCAGGCGATGCCGGTAGGGGTGTGGCTGTGTTGGATAGTCACTGGAGAAGGTGCAGGGAACATGGGCGGGCCGTTGGGGGCCGGTGAGGGGGGCTTCTGGGTGAGAGGGGAGGGGGGCAGCGATCGGGACTATTGGTCTTAGGCCTGCAGCCTTCCCTGGGGGGCTGCTTGTCATAACAGGGGGTGAGGGGGGCAGTGGAGTGAAGTTGCATGCTGACCACACCACAGACTTGGGCGGGGGGGTGGGTGAGGGGGCAGGAAGAGGCGCTTGCTGTCGCCTTGGCACCGTGGCGTAGTGAGGCAGGACCGGGTGGAAGGCAGAACCCAACGAGGTGGCGAACCGGGAGGCTGAATGCCTTAAGGGTGGGGTGGGGGGGGGTGGTGGTGGAGCAGGGCAAGTGTGACCCGGTGGCCGGGTAGGAGGGTGAGGGAGGGGATACGGGCGTGGAGGACGTCCTGCTGTATTCCTGAGGTGTCGGGGTGTACAGGGTGCTTTCGAAGGCTAAACGTACAAAGAGAAAAACCAAGGTGAAGGACGAGACAGGACAGAAGGGAAGGAAAGAAGGAAGGAAGGAAGCAGCCGTAATGCAGACAGGAGGAGAAGACGGCAGGTCAGGGAAGGGAAAAAGGAGAGAGAGAGGAAAAAAGAGAAGGGGGAGATGAAGCAGGAAGAACGGTTTAATCCAGGTTGTGTGTATGTTAGTGGACAGGTGTTAGCACCGTGGACACACACACAAGCCTTCGTTTTGGGTAGCAAAGGAAGAAAGTGAAAAAACACAGACACACAAACACACACACACTTTTTCTAATTATTCCCTTTTTTTAAATGGTCTTTATGTTAGTTGTAATGTGGTTTTCCTTTAATATCACAGTGGGGTCTTCGTAGTATTTGATGGTGAGTGTATTTTTTGTCGATGAAGAGAGTCTTTTTAACCCTTCCTCTGTTATACCTGGCCCTCTACTTGACTCTATGGGTACTACTCTCTATCATGCTATGCGTGCATTCACCTACTGAGTTGCATAAACGTAGCCGGCCAATCGGGGCGAGCCTACCTGAATGCGTGCGCAGGCCCACAGTATATAAGGCGGCTACGCCTCCCAACCGTCATCCTTTTTCTCTTTTTTAACTGAAGCTAAACAAAAGAAGATAGATAGAAGAAAGTGAAAGAATATGCACTCACCACTCCTTGAACATCGGCCTTGCCCTACATGCCCGGGCTTAATTGCGGGCGCTGATCCCCACCACTTGTGCTTCGAGTGTTTGGGGCCTGGCCACGCGGTGGAGGGCAGCAAACATTCTCCATCCTGCAGTGCCTGTCGTGCGCTCCCACGGCTCAGATGCCAACATCGCCTGGAACATTTCCAGGCGCATTATGTCTCGCTGGACTAGGCGCAGGACCAGGAGGAGCTCGAGGTGGTCGAAATGGAGGACCAGGAAGTGGCCGAGGAGGTGCCGTTCATGTTCGCCATTCCGACGGGCCGGGCGGCCCCGTTTGTCTAGGAGGAAGAAGACGAGGACTTCCTCTCGGCAGAGATTCAGGTCCTGTTGCAAAAACAGGCGGTGTGGAGGATTCACCCGGAGAAGGTGAAGCAGGTCTGGACTCAGTTCGGGAGAGCAGAGGTGGACCTGTTCGCCAATCGGCGCAACAGCCACTGTGCCCTGTGGTTCTCCCGGTGGAACAATCCGCCCTTGAGGGTGGATGCATTTGCACACGAGCCATGGCCAAGAAAGCTGCTTTACGCCTTTCCACCGCTGCACCTTATCCCCCCCCTCCTGGAGAGGGTAAGGCGGGAACGTCTGTCAGTCATCCTAGTGGCCCCAGATACTCGGAGGTGACACAGATGATGGTGGGCCAGCCCTGGGCTATTCCTCAGGTCTGGGGGGCGCTGTCTCAGGAAGCAGGTGTAATAGGGGGGTTACCCACTCTGGGCCAACCTCTCCAGGCTTGGTTCCTGAGAGGGACAGGCTGAGACAGGTGGGGCTGTCTGACAACGTTATTCAGACTATCCAAGCAGCAGGAGCAGAATCCACCACAGCCTGTTACAGGCCAAAGTGGGCGGGATTCCAGCGATGGTGTGAAGGAAGGAGTCTAGAGCCGCTATCGTATACGTTGGGCTCTATTCTTACCTACTTACAGATACTGGTGGACAGGGGGCTGGCTCATTCCACAATTCCAGCCATTTCATCCTGTCATGAGGGATTTGGCGGCAGGTCAGCCTTCAGTCAGCCGCTTATGTTGCGGTTTTTGCAGGGGGTCAGGAGGCAGCGCCCAGTAGTGCACACTTCCTCCCCGCAATGGAACCTGCCGTTGGTGCTCGAGGCTCTGGTCACAGAACCATTTGAGCCTCTGGAGCTCTCCTCCCTGAAAGCACTGTCATGGAAGACAGCATTGCTACTTGCTTTGACTTCGGCCAAAAGAGTGTCCGAGCTGACCGCTCTGTTGGTGCACCCAAGTTGTCTTTTGATCCGGGGTGACCGTAGCGGGGCGACACTCAGACCGAACTCCTCCTTTTCTCCCAAGAGCCTAAGGAATTAGTTCAGGCCAAGGGCTATTCAGTTAGGTGGCTTTAATCTTCCACTCCATATTGGGGCCAGGGAGGCTAAATTGCACCTCCTCTGCCCAGTGCATGCGCTAGCATGTTATGTGGAGCGCACGGCTGCCATTAGACGCACTGAACAGCTGTTTGTGTGCTTTGGAGATGGTATGGCTGGAAAAGCTCTCTCCAAGAGGCGCCTGAAAGGATGGCTCTGCGAGTGCATTATACATGCCTATGGACGGGCGGGGAGAGCCCTCCCCACTGGGGTCCGTGCGCATTCTACACGGACTGTGGCTGTGTCAAACAGCCTTATTCAGCGGCGTGAGTGTAGAAGATATATGCACGGCGGCGTCTTGGTCTACGCCAGGCCCCTTCATAACGTTTTATCTCTTGGAGATGTCTGGCTCCTTCTCGTCGTCTGTGCTTGCCGGGGCAACACATGACTGGTGAGAGGGGGGGGGACTGTGGGTCAGTAGGTATCTGACCCCCCCTGGACATAATGCACTTGTGTTTTTCCCATGCTCCTTGGGGACCTGGGAAACATGGTGCGCAGTGAGCCCCATAGGCAGGCGGGGAGAGCCTTCCCCACTATTTTTTTTTCTTCCATGCACACTCTACACGAGGTAAGCTTGTGTGAGTGTGCCTTATCCAAGCTGCGGCCCCGACTTCTCCACGGTTACAACCGGATGGGAGGAAGTGGGGGTGCGGTGGATGTTAGCCAAAAGCCGGTCAGGGGCAGTGTGATGGGTCGATGTTGTTGGACGACAGGGCTTTTATACATCGGGGCTCCACCCACTGTACCCATAGAGTCCAGTAGAGGGCCTGTGTCATATATAACGGGGGGTTACGTATTGTAACCCTAGTTATATAAGCACAGGCGGAGCCCTCTACCTGGGGGCCCTGTCTTTCCTATGCCGCTCGCTGAAGAGGGTGTAGGACAGGGGTATTCAACTAATATTCAACGAGGTCCAGTTAGAGAAAATGTCCCCATGCAAAGGTCCAGAACATCAAAATGTCTAAGTTGCTTCATGAATTAGTGTGATCTATATTGAAGTGACCTGTAGCTTTATCAACGTCTGCATGTAATCAACAACTGACTGCCAATCAAATAAATAAAGTACAATTCAAAAACAACTATTTATTGTCTATTAAAGGAATGGTATGCTCATGACACTCATTTTTAAATAATTATCATCCGATAAAACAGACCAGTCTCTGCCAGTCTCTCTTTTTTTTTTTTAATCCGATGACATTATCAGTGATTTTAAACTGATTAATTACCGAAATAACATCAACACTGTGGGCGGCGCCATTTTACCGGACGTGACGTAAACCATGCGTTTGGTATCGAGGACACGTTGATGTTCATGTTATTTACTGTAGTTACTCTCTTCAAATATGCCTCATTGTATCGCGAAACATTGCCACAATTCTGATAGGAACAATCCACGGAATGCTCGGTTCCATCTGTTGCCAAAAGGTAAGCGTAGGAAGTACGTTCGGAGGCAGTGGCTAGCGAAATGTGGCCGGCCCGAACCGAAAGATCCACAGGCATGTATGCAGCGAACATTTCAAGTTTCCGGACGACTACTATGAGTATGATAAAACATAACATGGGATTTATTGAACAACCATTACTTAATGGAGATGCAGTGCCATCGGTCTTTCTGGTGTCATCACCGACCAGGACACCAGTTCGGCCAGTTGAGAAATCACCCTCTGCAAGTGTGAAGCGAGGAGGACCAGAAGTAGTGCTATATAAGGTGTATATAATAAGGTATGTTATGGCGCATTTCCATTGCAGCGGGTAGCCCCGTTTAAACGTCCTTTATCGTCCAGGCCAGGCCAGTTTTTGGTGGCCTTTCCATATAGCGTAGTACCGGCTAGTGGGTATTTCCCCCCAGTTTTTCCGGCCCCATAAAATCGTGGTTCTAGGGCCAGGGACAACGAGGCTGAGTATGCTAAACTAGAGAGGGAATCGCTAGCAAGGGTGGTCTACATGCATACATATCTAGTAATCAAAATTATTGTATCTACTAAGTAGTACTAAGTAGGCTCGAACCTGTATGGCTGAATTCCCCCTTCCAATCTCTTCATATTGCTCAAAACTTCGCCATGTTTTCGTGTGTTTACAAAGTGAACGCATGGATGACGTCGCGACCATCACGTGACTACTGAAAATGGGCAAAATGGCAGCGGCCTGACGGAATATACAGGTTTTGATAAAAAAGAGCTATAAAATCATTATTTACCGGGGAATATCGCTGATTTCTTCAGGGTATGGTTTAAACATAATGTTTCACTAAATACTGAAGTTTTGATTAATTATCTAATGAGTGGAGCATTCCTTTAACATAGAACTACAGATATACAGTAAATACTGTGGCTATGTGTAATGTTCCTCTCGGGCTGCATTTAAAAATAAAATAGAGAAAATAAATAAAATAGCTTTTGAAAATATGTGCATCTTAAAAGTGCTTAATTTTAGATAAATAAAATAAAGTGCAGCAGCAGCAGCTTGAGTTTCCCTTTTTCTTTGTTAACCGTGAAATTGTTAAGTCATGATGTGAAACATCATGACTTAACAGTTTCAGCCGATTATAGAACAATATCAGTCTTTACATCATAACAATTGAACAGTTTTAAAGTTTCTCTTTCTTTCCCTCTTATATTGCAGTCCCTCACTCACTTTTTATTCAGTGCGAGAATTGAGCTGGAGCTTATTGTCCTGCCAGGAGTTTAGATCTGGGCTGAAATGGTGTCAGGGCCATTCTCATACACATGCAGGTGCTCATTGGTTAGCCTCGGTTAGCTCATTGGTTAGCCTCGGTTAGCTCATTGGTTAGCCTCGGTTAGCTCATTGGTTAGCCTGGAACCATATTTAGTTTTATTTTGATCCTGGTGGACTGATCATATTGCACTCTGAGACTGCTTATTTTTTGTGACCTCAGTTCTGACTTGAGGGAATGTTTGGTCAAACACTTTGTGTTTTGTCTCATAGTGGCGTTTTGGCACTTTTAATGAGCGCCACAGTCTCTGAACAAATGAGACACACTGGCTCTGTGCTCCCAGTGGGCAGGATGAACATGAACGAGTCCGTCCACTCAGGGTTCAAAGCTCTGTTCTCACTGTCCATGTTCCTCTTCTTGGAGAGCGCCATGTGTCATTATGTGTCTCTCCCTGTCTGCCGCTAAAACACCTGTTCACTCTCCTCTCCGCTTCTCTCCCTGTATCTCTAATTATTCTCTTCACTCACTTTCCTCTCCGCTTCTCTCTGCCGCGCTCTCGTCTCTTCTTCTGTGTTTCTCTCCCTGTATCTCTCACTCGTCTCTTCTTCTGTGTTTCTCTCCCTGTATCTCTCACTCGTCTCTTCTTCTGTGTTTCTCTCCCTGTATCTCTCACTCGTCTCTTCTTCTGTGTTTCTCTCCCTGTATCTCTCACTCGTCTCTTCTTCTGTGTTTCTCTCCCTGTATCTCTCACTCGTCTCTTCTTCTGTGTTTCTCTCCCTGTATCTCTCACTCCTCTCTTCTTCTGTGTTTCTCTCCCTGTATCGCTCAATCGTCTCTTTCGCCCCCTGTCGGCAGCGGTTAAAATAGAATCGCCCCGTAAAAATTGAAATCCCCTATTAATGTATTGATTATAGGTCCGGGTCCGTATAGGTCGGCGTCTGGGTCCGGATCCGGACTGCGGTCCACCTGTTGCCGACCTCTGTAGGATGACGGTCGGGAGTCGTAGCCGCCTTATATACTGTGGGCATGCGCGCGCATTCAGGTAGGCTCGCCCCGATTGGCCGGATACGTTTATACAACTCAGTAGGTGAATGCACGCATAGCATGATAGAGAGTAGTACCAATAGAGTCCAGTAGAGGGCTCCACCTCTGTTTATATAACTAGGGTTACAATGCATATCCCCCCGTTTCATGTGCATATAGGCTGGTTGATGTGCCATTTAATTTGTGTTTTACGACCGATGTATTTGTCTACATGTATTGTCTGTGTTTTATCTGTTGTAACTTTGTTCATGCTGCCTTTCTTGGCCAGGTCGCTCTTGGAAAAGAGATTTGAATCTTAATGAGACTTTTACGTGGTTAAATAAAGGATAAATAAAGGATATATATGAGCTCTCTGACTAATTACCTTCAGTGTGCTGTAAATATGCTCCACTAGCGATTAGCATAGCCTGCACGCTGTTGAGAGGAGCTGCCGTATGTTATGGCCGGGGGGGATGTAAAGTGGTTCACCTTTCACTGTTCCTTACTAATATTGTCATCCTACGCAGTCCTTATTCTGCCAACATATTCTGCATTGGAAACTTAGTAAAAAACCTGACATACTATCACACATACGGTATTAACCCTTATAATTTTCAACTGAAGTAAATGGTTATTTCCACTTCCACTCCACTAGACAGATACAAACTTCACTCTTTTAATAAACCCAGAACGTTTCTTCATGCGTTACTTCTTGTTCTAGCTTTTGCCAACTTTCACTGTTCCTCACCTCGGCGTCAAACAATCAGGCCCCAGCTTCGCTCTGATTTCACTATTACCACACGATCAAAGCACAGCCATTACAGAGAGCTGGACACATGCACACAGGAAACATGTGCTCACATACACACACATCAGAAGAAGGCAAGCCAATACTGAAGCCAAGCAAAACAACATTTGGGACAACTTAAAAAAACAAAAAACATTATCAGCAGAAAAATAACTGTATCAATCTCCAGTGTGTGTGAGATTGTGTGTGTGTGTGTGTGTGTTGTGTGTGTGTGTGTGTGTGTGTGTGTGTGTGTGTGTGTGTGGTGTGTGTGTGTGTGTGTGTGTGTATGCATGACATGAGTTGATGTTTGATTGACATGCAAATTGAGGCTGATACAATCATTAAGTTGGAAAACAGGATATTCTAAAACTCAGTTTATTTTCAGGAAACCAGACTTTACACAAATGTAATAAAATAATTAACTCCATTTATAACTGAGCTAAATCAGCCCTATTATAACATTCTGCCTGCAGTCTTCTTCTTAATTTCTGTTCCTATCGAACCGCATGCCCAATGCTTCTGAAGACATACTTCCTCAGCCTTAACGTGTGTGTGTGTGTGTGTGTGTGTGTGTGTGTGTGTGTGTGTGTGTGTGTGTGTGTGTGTGTGTGTGTGTGTGTGTGTGTGTGTGTGTAGGCAGGAACGTGCATCACCTGCGTTTGAGATGCGTCTTCCTCTCTCCCAGTCCTGCTGCTCTCTGTCCAGCTGCTCGTGCTCCCTCTCCAGCAGCTCTCTCCCGCTGCGCTGCTCCTGCTGCTCTTGCTGCTCTTGCTGCTCCTGTTGCTCCTGTTGCTCCTGCTGCTCCTGCTGCTCCTGCTGCTCCTGTTGCTCCTGCTGCTCCTGCTGCTCCTGTTGCTCCCTCTCCGCCTGAGCCTCCCGCTCTGCTTCATACTCCTGGCGTTCACGTTCCTGACGTTCACGTTCCTTTCTCTCGCGCTCCAGGCGCTCCCTGTCTTGGCGCTCCCTCTCTGCTCGCTCCCTCTCTCCTCGCTCCCTCTCTTGGTGCTCCCTCTCTTGGCGCTCCCTCTCTTGGCGCTCCAGCTCCTGATGCTCTCGTTCGATCTCCTTCTGCCTTTGCGACTCCTGAAGCTGCCTGGAGGAGGAGAGGAGAAAGACGAGATAACTAATTAAGGGAAATAAATCTATTTCTAATATATATACTTAGACTAGTGTATACTTTGTGGTTGTGTGAGGTGAGTTTGAGAAAAGGCTTCTACTGCTGTCATTATATTAGTTCAAGCTATTCTGGGCACATTCAAATACAAAGTGAGGACTGCCTGTGGTTATAATCTCCCTCTGCTACAAACTGCAAACCAAAGACAAATAAATAAAATAAGAGGCAAAAATGTAAAATGATATATTTTTCTCTTTTTTAATGTAAAATGAGATGGGGTCTTCCTGTAGGTATTCTATGTAAAGTGTGCCTGCAGATGCAGCTTCAGTCAGCAGGGGTCAGCAGAAGGCAGCAGTGTGTTAGCTGTGAGGATACGATGTGTGATAGAGAACCATGCTGATGATAGTCTCTGTAGGGAAACTGCTGTCAGAGCTATTTCAATGACAATATCAAATAAGAAAAGGGCATGAACGAGAATAACACAGCTTCTGTGGATAACAGAGACACAGGATGTGTGCGCCATACTCTCATTACCAGGTAAAAGTGTCTTGTAGATGTATGACAGTAAAGGAAGACAATCTGTCAAGTTAGAAATTCACGCTTAGTTTTAGGCCACCCAAGGTGTCATTGAGCAAGGCATGGCAGACCCCCCGCTCTGACACCTCTCCACTACACTAATGCTGTTTGTGCATGTGTGTATTTCAGGCCTGTGTGATGTGATACAGAACAATAAAGTGAATATTGAATGTTTCCTACAGGGCTTGATACAGTGTCTTCTTCTTAATACAAAAAAAGAGCCAGTAATCTAATATGTTACGATGATTCTTTTTCTATGGGCCCTCTTTTGCACACAATCACTCGCTTGTAACTATTGCAGTGTTGGGTTACATTGTGACTGAATATAGGGAAAATAGATAGCATCAAAGCTAGAGACCCGGCTGCAGAGCTTCACAGGATTATCCTGACCAATAAGATGCAAGGGAGGGGTTAAGGGGATTTTAGAATATATCTTTATGTCTGCTACACCTCAATCTCATTGACTCCCATGTCCCTCCAATACAAGAGGGAAGTTATCATGATCATTTGTGGCAGTAGTCTTCCTCTTGCCCTTTTCTATGCCAGGATGGCTAAACTGCCATCAGCGTTTCAAATCTGCTGCACTGTAACTACCAGCTGTGTTGGCAGATTGATCTATTAAGAACTGAGAGGATTATTATCCCACCAAAGATCACACAGTGTGTTGTAGTAGTTTACTAAATGTGTTCCTACTCTCTCTTATTGAGGGCTGGTAACCAGTTTCATTGTGTTTATTTTCATGAAATAATTCATCAGTAAATAAATAAAAAAGTATAACATATATTAATATTTGATAGATTTGTCAAATATTTATTATGATATATATATATTCAGATTTTGCTCTGGATATATGCTTCCTGTCATTTCATTGTACAAAAGATGGAGAGGCTTAATTTCAAACCATAATGTTTGTAGGGTTATTAAATTAGTAAATGAATCCCCTGACTTTGGGTACAACAGGATACTAACAAAATGTTCAGTGTTGGTGAACAATAACTGTTAAAATGTCTCCCAAGGGTGCACAGAGTGATTAGGAACAGGTGAATGAGTTGAATGTTCAGGTAACACTTTATGGTAAGGGTACATGGATCAGCATGAATTCATGCATGTAGTACTTCATGAACTATCAGTAATGTACAGGTATTAAAGGTATCTCATGCATGACTTAATGCAGGAACAATACCTTAATGAATGCATCAACTAAGGTATCTCAATCATCATGACTTCTGAGTTATTAATGATGTTCATGTCTTCTTCATATAGATCTGCAGTTCAAGTGACAGGCCAAACAACTGACCAGTCACAGCAATTCCAAGTGTTGTAATCATGATAAACTAAGCATACTTCATCATGTTTGTGCCCCTTCAAATAAAGTGGTGACCCGGTGTGTCGGTCACAGCAGTGCATGTATTCTGTTGAATTCAAAGTGTGACTGGTCAGTTGTTTGGCCTGTCACTTGAACTGCAGATCTATATGAAGAAGACATGAACATCATTAATAACTCAGAAGTCATGATAATTGAGATACCTTAGTTGATGCATTGATTAAGGTATTGTTCCTGCATTAAGTCATGCATGAGATACCTTTAATACCTGTACATTACTGATAGTTCATGAAGTACTACATGCATGAATTCATGCTGATCCATGTACCCTTACCATAAAGTGTTACCAATGTTCACTAAAGGTGTGTGGAGACTACCAAGTGACAGTGTACAAACAGTAGTGTGTGTATAGAGTAAACTTCTGTGTCAGGAAAACACAACGTTGAGCTACTGGGAAGTCCTCAGTGTGTATGAGCAAAGCAGATCCCTCCAGCTGGACCAGGGAGCGCTGACATGCCAACTGTATCCTGAGAGTCATCTTGCACATTAGACTCCAGTCCGTTGTCTCGTTCTCTGCCTATTTTTCACCTCTAGTTGGAGATGGCTGTACTTGCTCAGTCTGTCCTCAGTTAGTTTGCACTGACATTGATGAATGATTTTAACTCTGTGGCTTTTAAAAATCTTGACTGTTAGCCAAATGTTGTGTTAGAAAGACAATAAAGTTGTAAACTAGTTGAAATAGGATTGTAACACCTGAACAGTGCACATGGACATGTGATACATGTGTTGGAGTCCACTGTTATTACCTTTCACACCCAATATTGAAAATAATATTCCTTTGTTTTCTTTTTTTAAATAACAATTCCAGAACCGATTATGTGAAAAAATAAGGATGGTCAGGGGACAGTGTTTGATGTATTTGTCACTTCCACATGTCTCCATATTCCCTTCCTGCGACAGGAGGAGCTAGAACAGGTTTCCCCTCTCTGCCTGGCATTAGTGTTCCAGGATTCACTGCTGTGAAAAGCCTCACAGTTCAGCTGCCATCTCACTGGCCTCGTGACAAGAGTTGCCAAGGATACTGTTGCTGAGGGAGCGTGGGCGGGCGCATGGGCTGAATCCCCGCACGAATATAGACATATGTGCACATGCACATAGATTGCTTTCCTCTTTGAATCCACAAGGATGCAAGACAGGATGCTAATAAAGTGACGCTAGGGGTCTTCGTAACACTAAAGGATGGAAGACCGACAGTAACAGTTTGTATACAGCTGTATGGTTCCTGTTGCCTTATGAAATCATCAAGCCAATCCACCATATTGGTTTTAGATATTTCTGTGTGTGTGTGCGTAAATATCTGCAGATATCAAAATGTGTTACTGACAAGGTGCCATCCAGAGCAGCTGCTGGTGTTTTCAACAGCTAAGTGCTAACAGCTAACACACATTTATCACATTTCTCCACCATCTTCACTTTGATCGAAGTCCATGCATCACATCCTCTCTCTCTCTCCTCTCTCTCTCTCTCTCTCTCTCTCTCTCTCGCTCTCTCTCTCTCTCTCTCTCTCTCTCTCATCTCTCTCTCTCTCTCTCTCTCTCTCCTCTCTCTCTCTCTCTCTCTCTCTCTCTCTCTCTACCCACCACGACACACACCACACACACACACACACACACACACACACACACACACACACACACACACACACAGCTATTTATAGGGCAGCCTCTTATTGCAGCTGGTGTTTGTGATGTGAGGGTAGCACAGTTTGTGAACAGGTGCTCCTGCAGGCTTCCGTCAGCCGTCAGGACTCCACTCACTCTTTAGGCACATTCACACCGCAGTACTTTTCCCACAAAGGTTCATGAGAACTCTTTTGTCGCGTTCACACCAAAAAGAGCTGGTACTAAAAATGAGTTCATGAGAACCTTTTCACCCCTTTCACTTGCTAGAGAGCAGGGACTTTCATGGGGGGAAAAGGTTCCTATGTCTGATTGGCTGGGCGGATTGCAAACCACGCCCCGTAAAACTCCCAAAAAGTTTTGTGAAGCCGCCATTTAATTATCCTCGCATTAGCATTAGCCCAGCGCAGAAACACAGAGAGACTAATTTATGGCAACACAAAAGAAAACATGGGAGCGGTGGAGATGAGGAGGTGTCGGCGTTCTGGCGATTTACTCGGAAGGCTTCAGTAGAAGCTGCTGGGAGTCCCAGCAGCTTCAACTGAAGCCTTCCCCAACTCCGGGGACTTCCGGTGTAGGTACCATATCTGCTCGGGGTACCATATCTGCTCGGGTGTATTTCCGTCGCATCCGTCATCCGTCATATCCGTTATATTGTAAGGCAATTCACCGCAACTCACCTCCTTCTGCTCCCAGCGCTCTGCTGCCACACATCGGCCGTCTGTGGAACTGCAGCCGGAGGAACTCGGGACAGCTTGTTATGTGTGGGGTGCTATGGTGGGGTCCCATGTACGTGTGCACATAAATAATGTTTCTAATTATTTACAATTAAAAAATATATATATTCTGCGTTACTTTAGCCAACACTTTTATAAGGCCACTAGATTAGATAATTACGAAATGTGTAGATAGAATACATATATTTCAGGTTGTTATTTTGTCATTATTGTAGCGTTCACAAGGTGAGTCGGAAACAGGCTTCTCGTTATTAGGCTTTAATAACTCTTGTTTGACAACAGATGATCACAGGTACATGTACACTTTGTGGGTTCTAACTCACACTAACTTAACTCCTACCCCTACACATATATATATATATATATATAGCAGTGTCTACGTCACAACTCCCCGCCCTCCCCCGTCCGCTCCCCCAACCACAGGCCCGCACCTCAACCAGCATCACTATGCAGCTCTATGATTGGCAGAGAGACGGGGGATGCCTGAGTGACACCCTGGACATCCTATGCAGGGTCGCTACATTATGTTTAATGTTTTATTTACCTTTTAGTATTTTTATATAGTATCTGAACTTTGGAGAGGAGTTGGGAGACACACGACACATCAAATCACATCTACAGATCAAGGCGAAGCTAATGGAAGTACTCCCATACTCCTAGCGTGAAAATGTTTGTGAAAACGTGTGCAAAGTCTCCGAAAATCCTAAAAATAAGCTCATATTTGAATTCCCCATAAAAAAACACATCATTCAGTAAAAACAAGGCCCCACTGATCATTTACTCTCTGAGACGATTCCAGGGATGTCTGGCTTGAGTTTCTACCACCAGGGAAAGTGGACAAAAGTGCCCGAGATCAGCCTCTTAATTTACCCAGGGCCTAATGCTTGGCTTTGGGCATGAAAATTCAGGAAACTCCCCTGAGTATTTTATTAAATATCTGAACTTTGGAGAGGAGTTGGGGGACACACGACACATCAAATCACATCTACAGATCAAGACGAAGCGAATGGAAGTACTCCTAGCGTGTGAAAATGTTTGTGAAAAACGTGTGCAAAGTCTCCGAAAACGGAGCAGTGGCTGTGATGCTAGCTTTGCGGCTAGCGGTTAGTTGTTATTGTTTGAAGTTGTTGCTATGGAAACAACATGACGGAGAAAAAATTAATATCTTCTACATATAATAACGGACAAAGTAAAGAATGAAGTGTAGGCTATGCCTGTTTGAAGTTGTTGCTATGGAAACAACATGACGGAGAAAAAGTATAATCTTCTACATATAATAACGGACAAAGTAAAGAATGAAGTGTCGGCTATGTTTAAATGTTCGGAATTTGACCGTGATGGCCCTCTTGAGTTGCCGTAAAATATGACGAATATGACGGATGACGGATGCGACGGAAACACACCCGAACACATCTGGTACCCCGAACACATCTGGTACTGACACCGGCCGGGGACTTTGGGTGGCAGTATACGCCGTGAAGTGGTTTGCGGCCTGCCAGCAAACCCAAAGCAGAAGAAGAAGAAGTGACGTCAGCGGCCTCATTTGCCTAATCCACCCCCAGGGATTTATTCCGGTGTGAACCGTGTGAACGCGATCTGTACTTAGTTCATGAGAACTAAAGAGTTCTCATGAACTAAGTTCTGGTGAACCTTTGTGGGAAAAGTACGAATGCGCCTTTTCAGGGAATATTTACAGCCCCCCATCAATCACACCAGCCGGCTCCACTCTTTTTCATCCATCTCTGTCTCAGTGACAAGAAAGGGGAATTAAAGAAGAGGTGCACGACGGACAGTAAGATCTGTTCTGCTGTCAGGGGTTGCGAAACCCCATTACAGAGACCCTTATCCCATAATGCTCCCTGTGCTCCTCTGTGTCATAGTGGCAGGTTGTAGAAGACAAAGGGTTTTTCTCCATTGTGCTATAAAGCTTTCG